AATTTAATACGCTGCCTTTATTAGTCTTCTTTATTGTTCCAATGAAGAAATATTAGATTTCATTGACTACATCGATTGAGATTATTTAATTATATTTGAATATTTATGAGAATTACTATTTCTTTCACAAATAAGTTAGCTGAAAAACTTTAAGAAACAAAACTAAAATTAATATTCATTAAAAAAATCTAAAGGTACTATTAAAAGTGCGAAATGAAATTCTGTATGTGATACTTCTAAAAAATTTGAACTTCTGAGCCGATTTTAATGAAATTTTAATGTGAAAATCGGAGGCTAGCAAAACATGGCGCAGTATCTAAGAAAAAAACTTATACTACTTACATCTAAACAAAATGTATTTGATATTCTTTATTAAACCGTAACAACAAAAATCATTGTTTTATTACTTCATAACCTTCATATATGACGTATATTATTGGTGTGTTGTCAACAGAATGCATGCATTAAAACTAAGGTCATCAAACTGTACGTTACATTGGAAAGACGATTTGATCCACACTAAATAGAATTAATCCAACCGCGTCCGACTTTGAAATCCGCTTACATTATGTGTGACCGATTTGAAAGTATGACGGCGAGCATTCACGGAGTCAGCTATTATATTAACATATTGTTTTAAATGGAATATTATAAATAAAAATATACTTATGTAAATGCTATTTTGAGATCTAATTTTTTGTTAGTATATAAATGTTGAAGCACTAGTTTTAATTAAATGACAATTAGATGCAAAGAAAAAAAAATCAAAAAATACAAAGGTAAAACTATGTTTTTAATGAATACGATTTTTTTATTTATCGAAACAGTTAATATATATAAATGTTTTATCAAAACTATCTTCATTACTTATGCAACACGCGCTGTGCGTTGTTCGTATTGTATGTAACATTTAGGCCACGGTGTGAGAATTACCATAACTGTGTGGGAATGAAAGTAAATAAGGTTTAACTAAAGAGGTTTACTAACTTTGATATTTAGATAAATTCAATCATTACAGTTTTACCTTTAAAGATAAAACTTTGTGTTAAGAAATACAACTAAAGGATCGGATGCATACATCCATATTTAAGTACAAACGTCCGTTTAATGTATAAATTTGATTATTTCATAACTTTTATTGAACAAAAGTAAAAACACTTGCTTCCGGCACAAATTGTGTCATAAATTACTTCGTTACAAACCAAGCTAAATTGAATAAGAAGAGATTTAAATTGGTTTTGAGTAAGAAGAAAATATTAAATGTCATGAAGATGATGTGATGATTTTTGTTGAAAGTATTTCCCTTTCTCATTTCTAACGATCGAATATCAGTAGAATTTATTTCGCATTAACTAGGCGTTATACTTTTAAACCGAAAATATATCGGATTAAATTGCCGAATCTAAGCCGTTCATAAAAAAAAACATGTCAAAACGCGGTTATCATGGCGTCGCGTCGGTTAATAAGACTTCGGTTACATTGTACAATTTTAGCGAAGACATTTCGTACGCTGCGAGTCATAAATAAAGTTTAATGTCCACCAAATCACGTGCGGACGCAACATAACTGTGGCGTATAAAATTAATAGTGTAATTAAGGAAACATTTGTACGAATACATATTAAAAAAAAACTTTATGTACGCCATTAGTTTGATGTAATGATGTTTCTGAACGCATTCATTTTACAAACGATTACTTTTATTTCCGAACGTCAATGACACCGTATTAAGACTTAGTTGTCACTGTCAATGAAGTTTTTATATCAAAGGAGTTGTTATATCAAAGGAGTTTTTATATATTAGGTATTGGTGTTTGCAACAATGTTGTCTACGTTGTCAGTCAAGACACTGGCTGGCCCGAAGCCAGTAACCTTGTTTACCGACACTTATAAAGCGTAGTCAGTTAGCTGACGGATAAAACATCGCGTTACATGCTTTGTATTAACTCTGACCTTGGCCCTGAAAGAATTCATAATTAGCTTGCTTTCTTTTATTAATATTATTATTTTCATATAATTAGGAAGAGGTTGAAGTAAATGACTCGTAAATTCCAATTTATTCTGTACATACACTACATACGAAGCGTTTTCTGCTATTCATTGAATAGTTTACGTAAAAACTACATATAATGTATGAAGAATAAAAAATACCTACTGTTTATGTAGTGTAACAATGTTAATTGAGATAATCGTATAGCAGTTTTCGATTCGATATTTTTTTATTTTAAATCTTGTACATTCATACTTCCTTCAATTATTCACAAAGTAGGTATTTTATCTCAAATATGTATGTATATAGGCACACAAACTACGACAAATCCAAAATGTCAATCCTTCCTAAAACATACTTCTGCTCTTTCTTAAAACACTTGTTAATGTTTCTTTACTGCTATATTTGTATTATTATCATTCCTCTATAAATTTTATATTTTTAAAATTGGTATAAATTTTAAATGTCTCTATTGCATCCAAGTTTGTCACCGACGTATAAAAAAATTAAAGTATAAAAATTTGACATTTGTTTTTAACTGTTGGATTATTATTTATTATTAAAAATTTTAATTATATAAAGTAGTTGTATATTAATTAAAATTATAAGTTTTATGTAATAAGATTGAAAATTGATCCATAATTAATCCGATCGATGAATCTCCACTAGGTATTTGTAATGATCGCGTGATATGTAAACTATAATTACGGACTCATTACACGTACTGCCCATATAGGGCGTAACTTTCATACGGCTCACGATCGCTTGCGTTCCTTTGAGAATTCCTTCATAAAAAATAGGAGAAAGTCCTATTAAGTGCACACGATAATGTGACCTGTCGACTGTCGTAACACGCTTCAGATTGTCCAAAGCTTATCTTTCAAACTCCTAGTACGTGACAGTTATGTTGTAATTCAAATGTCCGCTTGCATAGTAAAAATATTTCTGCATAATTTTTTATAGTACTTGCATAACATTTGTGCAACAATACCGTAAGGTAACAGCGGAACCGTCTCGCGTGTTAGGTTAAAAAAAAATTAAATTAATGTTTCATTTTATGCCATTCATGTAACTAAACTTTGACTTTTAATCTGCAATTTTGTTCGTCGAGTAAGAATGACGGAAATGGCGTTTTTGCCGCCTTTTTATTGACGAAGTTAGATATATTTGGAAATATAGTTAGTTAAACAATTTTAAATATTTCTTAAAGTAACAAATACACTCATCGATTTTTTTTTGACAAGCAAATGACTTCTGATATAAAAAAACAGTTATTCCGTAGAGAGGACGCCTCCGTAACAGTATTAAACCTGAATGGATTAGTCGTAAGAAAATAAAATTAAGAATATTGAGACTATAATAAAAATACACAGAATCTTCAATATAAATTTGACAAAACATTATGTAAATATAACTGATTTATTAAACACTTTTATAAAATATGTTTTATATTATATAAACTTATGATTAAAAATAAATATAGAGTTTAATGGAATAAACAATTCGTTTTTTCTAAATATTTAAAGCATAGACAAAAATAAATCTTATTACCACGAATATTGTATTATATTATATCAAATAACTTTCACCTAGATAATATATAAAATATTTATATATTCTGTGTTGATTTTTCGCCTTTCACTCGTACAATTGTTAAATAATTCTAAGATGTAAGGTTACGAACGAACGTCCTGGTTCACTTAGTTATGACGTCTATCAAGGCGATTAGCATGGAATCTAGTCTGTGGGCGTGTGCTAACTGGTTTTAGGTAAAGAATAAAAAAAAAACTATACAGAAAATGTACATTAATTATACAACATTGTTGTTGTCGAAATGACTCTATTAATCACTTCTGTTTTGATAAATAAGTTCACCTCGTTTTTATTTTACGTGCTTTTTTAATTTTCAATCAATGATCATTAAAAAACAAATTCTTAATATTTATGCGTCATGTTCTAATAGAAAAAAAATGGCGGGAAAATATTGACAACAGAAATTAAATATGTAGAGTTTTTTATCTATTGGTAAATTAGATATAGATTGTTGTTTAAACTTTTGCAACCAGTTTCGATTCCGTAGATCTAGTCTTTTTCTAATCTAGATACACAAGACTCAATTTCCGTCAAAATACACGATCTCTACCGACATTTTTTTAATAAAAAAACGTTAAGAATCCATTTTCTAAAACAATCTTTCTTTATAGGTGTGTAAAATTGTCTTAATTATATGTCTCATTATCAAATTAAATGAAATGAAGAACGGTAATCATAGTATAATAAAAACAGTAAGTAATATGATAAAGTTCAATACTAAATCCTACTCTTAGAAAGATAACACTACGAACAGTCAAGGTTGAACAATTTCAGTATTGCCTCGACATGCTTATGTTTTTTAATATTGTAAATTAAAAAACAACATCTAATCTTGTAATCACAGACAATATTACATTTAAAAGTTTAATGAGTAATATCGCTCTGAATCACCTGAGTTCGAGATGTAGTGAGGCGCACCGCGGATTGCAAGTGCCGCAGGAATGTAGCGGAAACATTCAAAGATGTGACACTCATTATTATTTATATAATAAAATATAAATTTCATACAGCAGATAAACTATAAACAATGAAAAATTATTCAAGTTATTTACAAAACACAGACATCATTACATTCTTCCGGAGTTCAAAGTTACGTCAATGCATTATGAAGCGCAGTCCGCAGGCTGCACATAACATTGTACAGTACTACTAACTAAAGACTACAGTAAAACTTGGACAGCGATGCAAAAACTTTTAAACTGGTTGAAAAAGTTTATTCACACTAACCAATGGGAACGTCGAGATCGTGGCGTCTGGCGCGCGCGCTGTCTTCAGTCCGCCGCTGACGCTCGCCGCGTGCGCACGTGTGTTAACAACAGCGATCAATCAACCGTTATCGTCCTACATGAAAACCTAATGAACGGAAGAGGTAGCTGCATGTGTTAGTGTTGTGAAGTACTGTGTTGTGTTCATGTTGGAATGGAGGAGGTTCACATATCGGATTGGCCGGAGCCTCCCGGCTCGCATGCATGGCTGCCCGCTTACGGCTTCCAGCATGAAATAATGGAGAAAGACGAGTATTTCGTCTCCAATGGTGAGTGGTTATGTTCACTCAACCAAAGAAGGCCGTTCGTGTCGCGTTTGAGAGAAAAGAACGTTTGCGCATCTTGACCTTTAAAGATTTCATGCACGTACACTATAAATATAACCGAAGTTAATAATGAACCGTTCATAATTAATATAACCTGTAACATTTGATTGCGTTTGTGTTTGTGAGTAAAATGTATTTGATTGTTCGCTGCGGGCATGTTGTTGCAATTTTTGTTGTTACTCATTTCGATCGAATGCTGATAAGTATTGTGTTCGCACCAGGACTAATTGCGTTTTGTTTGCAACTCTTAATTGTCATAAACAATAGCTTCGCATGTTTTAGAGTGTTAATAAGAAAAAATAATAATAACAAAAATTATGTAGATGTTATGTTACTGCTTACATAGTTAACAGAGTAAAAATGCTCGCTCGTACGTTTTATCCACATATACAAAAAAAATATTTTAATAATAAAATCATTTCCGTCGTAATTTATACATGACGAGTTATCAAAATTAACTTTCACCGAGAAAGCTGAGAATATAAATGTATGACAAGCAAATTTATTCAAATACTGTTACTTTAGGATATATTACATAATAAATCGAGAGAAGAGGTCATTGGAAACAAACATTAATAGCATAATATTATAGAGAACAGCCTAATTGTCATTGTAAAATTGAAACCGATACAATTACCTCATTACATCGCATTCCCGAGCGAAAGGAACACAGACTATAGACGTTACATTCTAAAGAAAGTCGCGCGTCGCTGTCACGACTCTTGGAAGAGATTTACAACTGTTCTGTACGGTTACAACGAACAATGATATTACGAAATAAACACTTTGAACACACATGAGCTGTTTAAAAACTATGATAGCGGTTCAGAAATTGATATGTTTATATAATGAGTAAAATGTATCAGTAATGATTATTTATAAATTTAATCTAATAAAACAACTTGTTCTAAGGCTAAATTAGAAGTAATATTTGTATTAACACCTACAATTTTAAGTCAACAATATGTACACAGATGTACACATAAATGTATTGAATAAAGAAATAGAAAATGTAAATAAGTTTCGAAGTATTTGCATTTAAATAATAATTAATTGACATAACATTGGATGTATGGTTAGCGATAGTCGTATGCGAGCTATTTAGAAAAAAATATATATTTTAAAAAAGGAACTACTATAAAACGCTGCTAAATATAGTAACGTCATTGTTGACAGATGACATTTAAAATTTAAATTATAATGCCAATTAAGACGTGTAAAGCGGAGTCGCGGGCATTGGCTAGTTAGCTATTATCAATTCGGACTATATTCAAGGCAAATATAATATATCTTGTAAACTTGTCACTAACTAGAGAAACAGCTCAAACAAGTTATATTAATATAGATTTATTCGCAGCATAATAATTTCGTTTGATTAATTAGTTCTAGCAACATTTTATTTAGAACAGACTTTTTAATTAACTTTGGCGATAAATTATTATGAGAATCGTTTTAATAGGATCTTGTATGAAATATTATACGGTAGTACGTAATTATTACTTAGTATAGAGAAAAGAAAGGAAAAAAACAAAAAAGAAATTAACATCGGGAATATAAGGCTTAATGGTAAAATTGCTTCAACAAGCCCTTGAAAGCAGATCGATTTTTTATCGATTTATGCTATGAAATAGTTACCGAGACATCAGAATCTATCAAATTCTGACTTTGATATGAAAAAATATATCCATGCATTTTATAGCTATCGTATAAATTAAAAACTTGTCTATTATTTAATCAATTCTATAAAATACAAGGAATGTTTGCTTTCTTCGGTTTTTATAATGTATGTATGTTCTTTAATATCTAAAATAAAAAATCACTTAAAATTCAATATTTATAATACATTATTTTTTCTACATTTTGAGGTATAAGTGTTTAGTATCGAGACTAATTTATTGACGTAAAAAATGTCACCTTCATCTGTTGACCGATCCTGATAAGATGCATAAATATTTGATATGTGTATTGGATGACGAAATATTATAGAAACCTGTACTTTGATACAAGTTTAAAGAACTCATTAATTCGTTTTTTGGTTATAGCAATAATCTATTTGGGATTTATCTCAAGATTTATCCTGCGAAAAATATTACAGTGTTTCGTTTTACGAAATTTAACAAATGATGTACATCTCAAAACAGATCTATTAAATTTTGTAGCAAAAATACTAACTTTTCCTTTTTTAAATACAACAAGCGAAACCGTTATGCTTGCCTTTGTCGTTGATCTATCTGTTCTGGTACAGCTTAAGCAGCTTATTTATTTTCTCATATATTAACGCGTGCAAGGGGACGTCACTAATAGGGGACTCCCCGTTGACCTAGAGCCCTCGAATCGGTAATTTTGACAAGAAGCGATGTTACATGTAAAAAAAAACTGTAAAACCTTATATGTAAAATAATAAGTTAAGTTTCGCTTTTTAATGCCTTTTTTGGTTTGTGCATAAAAAGGTAGGTAAATTGTTTTCACAAATAATTATTTTACAGAACAATCATACTAACACCATAAGCAAATTTTGTATGATATAAGATTTCTGTATCGTATGCTATAAAACCAAGTTAGTTCAAATTGAATATTAATGAAATCACTTAAAAATAGTCAGTGAGTAATAAATATGTTTTAAAAGTAACAGCGTCGTGTTAATATTAATGATTTAGCATCTGAGATGTAACAAAACTAGTAAGAATTGTATGGGTGTGCATTCTGTAGGGAGGCATGCGGTCAGACGGGTCCAGAGATAGAATGTGTGTAACCTTCGGATATAATGTAAAACTAACAAAACGAATGGAAAAAATATTATTATTTTTTTGTATATATACAGGGTGACTGGTGAATTACTATCAATATTAAAGGAGAATACTCGGTACATGATTCTCATTCGAATTATGTAAAAAAAAAATAGGCACTTAATTTTTGACCAAATTTCCGTATAAATAAATAAAGTGTGGACACGTTCCAAGTGTTCCAAGTGTGGACGTGTGCGGCGGCGTGCTGATACAACACCACGCCGCCACACGCGTATGTGTGTGTGTGTGTGTATACCTAATCTGTAGGGTGTTCATACGATGCGAAATTAATTACATAACTTTTGGTTAACTTTACTTAGAAGTTTATTAATATTTATGTTATATTAATTTTTATTTTGTCATACATGATCGTCAACTACCACGTCCTTAAATATTGATAGTAATTCACCAGTCACCCTGTATATACAAAGTAAAATCGTTTTTAAGTACTTTGTTTAATTTGGTAGGAAATTTTGTGGCAAAACTGACTGATTTAAAGATAAATGTAGAGAAAAATTTAATTTGTCATATTCGTTAACAGAGAAGTCTTATTAGCCTCAGTTGGATGTTTGTTTGTACGTAATCAAAGTTAAGTTTCACGAAAAATATGTCGCAAAATTCACAATAATATAAAGTGTTTTTCATTAATTATTGTTTTCTGCGTAAATATAAATTATTTAACACTTTTTAGTATGATATTACGCAATAAGACCGTGTTTTTTTATATGTACTATAATCATAATAAGTAAAGCGATTACTTTGTATGTCTTTTAAGAGTTACGCTGAAGAATGAATGTTGAATTAAACATAGTTATATATGGTAAAAAACTGTATGAACATAAAATTTATTAAATATATGTATATGAAATTACTAACTAGTTAAAATTAACATTATATGCATTCGAATTATTCTGGTACATCAATCAATGAATATTCCTTAACGTATGTACTGTCAGTACTGTATATTAAACATAATTATTAATTACCCTTCCTGTTCTGCCATTGAAATGAAAAAAATCGATTATGTTCGAGCATCGATCTCATGGTCATATAAAGTCTATGTATTCAATTTATTACTATTCATACATGATCCCTACTAATATTATAAATGCGAAAGTAACTCTGTCTGTCTGTATGTTACGCTTTCACGTCTAAACCACTGAACTGATTTTAATGAAATTTGGTACAGAGATAGAGTTGACTTCGAGGAAGAACATAGAATAGTTTTTATCCCAGTCTTTTGAAAAGTTCTCTTAGAAACGCAATATAACCGAACTTAACGCGAGCGGAAAGCTAGTACTTCATAAAAATTGTATCCATTTATATCGATTTGTAATATAAATGTATATTACACAAACCAAACGATTATTAAACTAGTTCTTGCCGATTCCGGCGTTAAATGGTTAGAAACTATCGGCTGATATTACAACTATAAAAATGATATAAAAAAAAAGATTGCGTTCTTTATTGCGAGCTATGATTTTATGGGTACAGTGAATAAAGGAAAGTTGACGATCATATTTTATAAGTGTATGTCTAATTTTATAATAATTATATTAAATTATACAGGGTGACTGGTGAATTACTATCGATACTTGAGGACATGATATTTGACGATCATATATGACAAAATAAAAATTAATATAACATAAATATTAATAAACTTCTAAGTAAAGTTAACCAAAAGTTGTGTAATTAATTACGCATCGTGTGAACACCCTACAGATTAGGTATACACACACTCACACATACGCGTGTAGCGGCGTAGTGTTGTATCAGCACGCCGCCGCACGCGTCCATCCTTGGAACACTTGGAACGTATCCACACTTTATTTATTTACTAGCTTTCCGCCCGCAGCTTCGCCGCGTGGAGTTCGGTTATATCGCGTTTCCAAGAGAACCTTTCAAAAGTCTGGGATAAAAACTATCCTATGTTCTTTCTCAAGGTCAACTCTATCTCTGTACCGAATTTCATTAAAATCAGTTCAGTGGTTTAGGCGTGAAAGCGTAGCAGACAGACAGACAGACAGACAGACAGAGTTACTTTCGCATTTATAATATTAGTAGGGATACGGAAATTTGGTCAAAAATTAAGTACCTATTTTTTTACATAATTCGAATGAGAATCATGTACCGAGTATGCTCCTTAAATATTGA